TTAATGAGTCAAATAAATTGAGCTGACCTACCTTCTAATAATGAACCTTATAAACAATATAAAGTAACGTGGCACGTGGGGCTAAAACAGTAAATTCATGTAATAAGCACAAACGGCTGTCAAAACAGAGACAGCGGGCCTACTTCGCCCTATCGATGTAATTAGTTTACAGAAACACATTGGACAGACCACCAAAACAGCAAAATAAAGTGTCCTAACAACAGAAAGTGACAGACATCAGAAATACATTACATGGAGATTCAATAAGGTAGTTGTCAGGGTCGTCTACTTGGATGGAGACAGACAGAAAGGACACATGTCAACCCCTATTTCTTAATTTCTTTTCTATATAACAACACCAATCATCGTTGATCAAAACATAATTGTTTGCCTGACTGGTCATATGATTTGGGCTACTAATGGCTAAAAAACAATACAGTTTTCTTATTTTATAGCCTACTATCTGTATTTACCACCAGTCAAATGCTACTTTCACCCAAAAAGGGGCTGGGGCATGACGCAGGGGCAAAGTACCTGGATGTGCTACTTTCATCTATTGAGTACTTGTGGTCTAGGGCTGGTTTTTGCGGTTTAGGCCCCTTAATTCCAATTAAGCAAAATCTTTATGCAATGATATTTTAGACAATAGTGTTAACTTCACTTCCTTAATATGGCTGTTTCCAGGTCCATAAAAATATTATGTTTTTCCCAGTTTAGTGTGGAAGAACTTAACCGGTCTCCACAGAGCCCTGACCTCAACCCCATTCAACACCTTTGGGATCAACTGGAACTAATGCTCTTGTGGCTTTTGTGGCTGCAAAAAATAATGGTCTGCCCGTAGTATGGATGCATCAACACGGGCAAGACTTCCCTCTCCTGTGTTGGGCAGGGATGTATGTGAAGAAGGCCAATCACTGCAGGTTATTTACCTCTCTCTCTCTCCTCTGTCAGACACAGTCTTGGGAGTGGAGGCTCTGGGAGCCTGGTGCTCCTGTAAATCCTTTGTCCTCATTTATCAGATACTGCTGCCTGCCTGTCACTGTGCGATCGAGGCATAAAGAAGCACAATGAATGAGTCTTTAATGAGTAAGGCCCCTGGGACAAACTACATGTGTTATAAGTCATTGCTCTGCAGAATTACATTATTTTAGTGCACAAAAAATTTAGTTGTGGCCAGGTTGTATGTCAAAAGACAGGGTTTTGTCTTACAGTCAAATGTATTAATTCACAGCTAATGAAAATAACCATAGGTATTTGAGTTGATTCCAACAATTATTTTATCAGGCTGTGGGATAAATACTATAATTGATCAAGGTGTAGTAGGTGCATATTAATGACAAAATGTATGCATCACATTGGGCTTTTAAGTGAAGTAACATCTGTGTTCTCTGCAGAGCGGATGGACGACGTTGGTCTTTAGCATCTTTGCCTTCTTCTGGATATGGCACTAACACTCCCAGCTCAACGGTAAATAACGTTTCTCCCAAATTTCTTGAACTTGAGTTCATCTGATAGTCAGACATAAAATATTAGGAACCACAGACATATTACTGTGATTTTACACAAATGTAATCTCTAGAGCTTGCTTTTGCATCCTGTGTTGTTCTGTTTGGTTTCCTCATCTAAACTGTATCCATCTCCAGAATGTTGTCACTTGCATTTCTTTCCCTTGTGATTTTTGGTGTATCTCGATGTGTAACAGCAACGTAAAAGGCCTGGTTCCTGCTCTTCATCTGGCTGTGGATGGAGGGTTAGATGGATGGGTTGAGCAGGATAGAAAGGGAAAGTGATCAGTGCCAGGCCAGTGGGATGAGAGGGACATGATAAACATGGCGTAATGAGGAGAAACTGGCACAAGACAGAGCACAGACTGTTCCACAGAAACGTTTGCCACGGGCTAAATTTAAGCAAATACTATCTTTAGAAACAAAATGATATTTCATTGGAATAAATGCTCTGACTTCTATGAATGAGACTGAGCAGTGATGCCCAGGGCTTCCTTCAGCTCCCCTCTCTAAACAGAAACATCTCTGCTCCATTTAAAGTGATAATTAAATAAATTAAGTTATAGTAATCCAAAACATTTTCACATTAAGAATTCTATCACTATCACTGAATGATACTGTGGTTTCATGAATGGTAAATGTAATTCCAGGTGCTTACCCTATGGGAATAGTTAGACATTTTTGGGAATTAATAATTAATGCAGAGAGTTAGATAAGTTTGACACCTCTCTCATGTCTTATATATGTCAATAGATGAGATTACTACCAGCAGCCAGTTATCTTAGCTTAGCACAAGGATTTGAAACAGAGAGAAACAGCCCATAAAACCACAAGGTGTTGTTTTTACACTGTGGTGTTAACACTTATTCTGCCTTTTAAAGTTATTATAAAATGTTATTTTTCTGTGTGTGATAATCATCAAATGTGTGTATAATCATATAATATAACATAATCATTTCATTTCTTTCAATTTAAACAGTACAATTACACAACAATACCCAAACATAGACTGTGTGAAACCCAACAAATGTAACGGTTTATAATAGCTTGACTGCATGACTGCAAAACCACTTATGATGATGCTGGTCACAATAGCTACTGTGGCTGAACGGACAAGAGAGCTTCACCTTCCCACAAAAATTCAAACTTGAACAGAAAGAAAAAAAGATGTCAGTCACAGCACTACAGCGATGAGAAAGTTGCCAAGACGGTGGTTAGAAAAATGGATAGAGCAACCTCAAAACAATCTGTGGAAAAACTTTGACATACATGAAACAGATAAAAAGAAAAATAGAGTCTCCAAGCTTGTTCCATCCAAACCTTTTAAGTCTGACCGTTTTCAATTGGTCTGTCACATGTGATTGATCAGTGATCGATATTTCGGTTAGCAAAGTAAGTGGAGGAGTCTCATTGCTTTGATGAAGGCAAATGAGGTGGTGAGACGTGGTTTGTCTGTGAGACAGATTGATGGGTCTGACCCAGGGCTCATTGGACAACTTCATTAACATTTCAATTCTCCGTTTGTCATCTGTGGTTTCCACAATGAATGGCAACTTAAGTCTGCAAATATTGTAATAATTGATCGATAATTGTTTTTGATCCGTCCAACTCTAATATTCTTGTTTCCTTTCCTCATCTGCCAACTTCTCCCTCTGCCCCCTCCTAATCCTCTCCTCCACCCTTTGCTCTTGCCTCACCTCCTCTCCATATTCCTTTTCTCCCGCTCCAGTCTTCCAGCTCCTCTCAGGAACGGCTGCACCAGCTGCCCTTCCAGCCCACCATGGATGAGCTCCACTTCTTATCCAAGCACTTTGGCAGCACCGAGAGCATCACAGATGATGACGGGGGCCGCTGCTCTCCCCACATGCGCCCACGCTCCCGCAGCCTCAGGTCAGCAGCAGCTACAGAACCCATGAGATTAACCAGCGGCTTCAGCTGCCCAAAAGCACTATCCTCTTTTTAAAAGAGAAGCTTTCAAAGCAGATTTACAGGGGGTGCCCATGGTTGATCTTGTAATTGCTTTTATATAACTACTTGAATTTTCCTATTTTGAAGCCAACATTGGAATTATGCTTAATATTTGATTAGAAAGTTAGAACTGTTTATATGAAGACGAGCTTGTCATTAAAGTTAGACTATGCAACTTTAAAGAAAAGAAATGACATGTTCCTCATACAAATAAAACATTGAAATTATCCATAAAACCAGTTAGCATACGTTAGGTAAATCGTGCTGTTTTTGACATTTTGCTGCCTTTTATTAATCTGTTCTAAAAAGTTACATAGTTAAAAAAAATATAAAACAAGTCTGTTTGATCACTTAAAGTAAACTTAAGTGACAATGATGAAGAAAAGAGTCAAGAAGTCATCAAACTGACTTAGTAATGTCAGTCTCAAAGCAACACCAAGCTTAAGCTTACAACGTTAGCTAATATTAGTTGTCATAAGCTACTGGTCATACCGACCTAAGAAGGTACAGAAGCAAAACCCTGAGTTTATTGAACTGAGCAAGAGTATGTTTTTCTGCTTGGGGCCTCAAGTATCCATTTTCAAGAGGAGGAATGGTCAATTACGTAGTCTCACTTTAATGATGGCTGTGTCTACATATCCATAAAGTACTAACTTTCTCTTTGTCATGGATCATTTTAAGTGCTAATCGAATCTTAAGCATAGTTTTTAGACTGTTTTTCTGTTTTTCCCCTCAGCCCAGGACGTTCCTCCTCCTGCTATGACAATGAGATAGTCATGATGAACCATGTATACAAAGAGCGCTTTCCAAAGGTGAGATGAAGCTGCTTCGTGATAAACATCACATTTCATAAAGACACACACAACAGTGAGTAGTTCTTTAAGCCTGCAAAGCATTCAAGTAATCTTTCAATCCACAATAATTGTCACTTTACTTCTATGAAGTCCGAACTCAAATGTTAGAGAAATACACAGGGATATAATTTATGAGTGAAGATTTGTGTATACGAATGAGTGTTTGATGTCATACACCCCCCCCCCAAAGAAAATGTGCCATGGGTGCTGCTAAACCATAGCAAAGAAGATCATGTGACACTGCTGCGATAAGTTCACCCTGTCAAAGACAATATTAAGTTTATTCACAGCACTCATAAATACTGCCACAGTGATTAAATGTTAAATAAAAGAGATTTTCTCTTTTGCCTAATTTTTCTTTCTTTCACTCTTTTGGTGGGTTGAGGTTGGTATTAAATATATATGGTGATATAAATCAAAGCCATAGGAAATTAAGTCAGATGGGGAAAGATGACATTGCATTGAGGTCAGTGTAAATCAGCCGAGCCACAGATGAAATTGCTTTCTGAATTTTCCATAACTCTGGGTCTTAAAGAAATCTATAAGCCTATCCTCTGTCGCTTCTTCTTCCACTCTCCATGTTCGCATTTTTGTGTTTTTTGTTCTCCACCAGGCAACGGCACAGATGGAGGGGAGGCTGGCCGAGTTCATCCAGGCTTTCTCTCCTGAAAATGTTCTTCCGCTGGCCGATGGAGTGCTCAGCTTCATTCACCACCAGATAGCTGAGCTGTCCAGAGACTGCCTGGCCAAAGCCCGCGAGGGCCTCATCACCTCTGTATACTTCTTTGAGCTGCAGGAGAATCTGGAGAAGCTTCTTCATGATGTGAGTAAGAAAAGATGTAATGTTAAATGTAACAGTGGTTGCTTGTAGTGATTAGCCCATAGAGAATTATTACCTAACTCTGCAGTTCCCCTCACCTTAACGAAGCATTTCACCATCTTTTCAGCTCATTGTTTAGGTTTACGGCCATTCATTTTCACTGCTCTCATAAACTGTATTTCCAGCAGCAGGCAGCTGTGGAGCGTTAGCAGCTAAAGAGCCAGATGTTCCCCTTTAAGAGCTGGTAGAGACCAAAAACAGAGCTTTGACTTGCAGAAACTGACAATACAACAATGTAACACAATTCCAAATGAATGATAATCTTGCTCTTTATCTGCTAGATGTGTAAATTAGTTAGTAAATTAACAGCTTGCTAACACCATCGCCTCATCCTTCACCTTTTAAGGTGATAAAGTGTCAGTCTTTACAGCTTGCTGTGCTGTGGCAGAGTATAGTCGGAAAAATATCTACGGTCTACATAAAAGTTTGCCACCAATTTTAACACTTGGATTCCCGGTTTGGAGAAAAACTATATACATAACCTACTTTGGTTATAACTTATTTGTGAAGACTGTTCATAAGGCAACTTCTATGAAATTAGACACAGAAACAAATACATCTACCCTCTGCTGGTTGGGATGATGTGATGTGGTGGAGGATTAGTGATGGAGAGATTCAGCTCAAGTCTTCTAATTTCATTCACACTCATGATGCCTTTGGCGAGAGACATGATTGAAATGACTGCGGTAAATGGAGGCTAACTGTGCTTGTGATTTGCCAGAGCAGATAAAAGGTATGAATTTCATCACAAACCCCATTTCGGCAGCTTGATTAGATCGCTGTGATTACTCTGGGCTGCCTGGTTTTGGTTTGATTGTATCTGCTGTGTTCCTTCATGATCCGATATTCTCATATCTCACCGATTTTTGAGCTTTTTGTTCTGCCTTTGTCACTCTGTCTTTTTATAAATGTCAGTTTTAATCTTCTCCCTTTCTTCCTCTCTCTCTGTCTGTCTGTCTGTCTCTGTCAGTGCTATGAGCGTTCAGAGAGCTCCGAGGTAGCCTTTGTCACAGAGTTGGCGAAGAAGCTTCTCATCATCATCTCCCGACCTGCCAGGCTGCTGGAGTGTCTGGTAATATAACACACACACACACACACACTTTCAGTATTTACCCATCATTGTCAAAATGCTACTGCCATGTTCAAAATCCTCATAACAGCCCCTCCCTTCATCGCAGAACATTTCACAGTTCACATCCCTCTTGTGACTTAAGACAAATTGATTCTCAAATTGAAAAAAACAGGAGCACTGATACTCATTTGATAGCCCATTATAAGCATATATTCACCCTGATGTATTACGCAGCAGGGGTAGAAAAACAAAACAAGCAAACACTGAAGTAAAGTCCAGTCTGTCTGGATGGCATAGACATTTGCATTTAGATTAAAATTTGTCCTGCCACCGTATGCCTTATACCAGGCAGTGGCCCCCTGCTGCCTTCCAGTCTGACTCAGACAGACCATGACCATGGTGTCATTTAAAGTTGGAGGATACCAATGTGTGTGTTTGTGTGTGCGCTTGTGTCCATCTGTCTAGCTTGTTGTGTTTCTGGGTAACTGCCGACGCACATTCTTGTGTCCCTCTTGATGAGTCATGCCACACTGACGAACAGTGACACAGAGAATTGATTAGTCCATCTAATTCCACCCCCGTTTTCTGCATATCACTCTGCACTGGGATTACTGTGTGTGTGATCTGTTGCACGTTTTGGACATTGATTTTGGCACCAGGTTTGGATCTGCAGCCGGTAGCTGCAATAGTGGCACAGTCCTCCTCTGCAGTACAACATGTCAATTAAGGCTGCAACTGACGATTATTTTCATTATTGATTAATCTGTTGATCATTTTCTTCGAATATTCAATTCGAATTAGTCCAGAAAACGGTGAAAAATGTCGATCAGTGTTTCCCAAAGCCCGTGATAACATCTTCAAATGTCTTCAAATATTCACAATTGAGAAGCTGGAATAAGAGAATTTGGATGTTTTTAATTTAAAGAATTACTCAAAGCGATTCAGATCAGGATAGTTGGCAATTCATTTAATGGTTGACAACTAATTGATTAATCGAATAATCGTTATAATAATAATCAGATCTAATGTCAGTTCAGTGTTTGGCATCATGCCACGTCTTTGGTGCAGCGTCTGCGCTCAGGGATTGGCTCTTGAGGTTCACACTCACCCTGTTGGGTGCCTCATCTCTGAGCATGCGATGGGACTTTTTGAGCACAGAAATAATTTTTGCAAGCACAAATGATATTTTTAGAGGAGTTATTACACACGGTTATTCACAGAGGCGCACAATAAAAACCTTTCTCATTCAGTTTTACTACTAGTGAGCGGATTGGAGACAAAATAACCAATCTGAAATGTTCTGCTCCAACTCTCCAGTTGGCTCAATGACAGTGTAACACTCTTAAAGTCACTGTGGATGGAAGTTAGAGGGTCTTTATTTTCCGCTTTGTGACGGAATATGTGTACATACAATGGGCATGGCATAGTTTTGAGAAGGATTTAAATCAGATCCTTCAAGATCTGAGGAGGAGAAAAGAAGGATTTTGCTATACATTAAAAATGTAAATATTTTTACATTTATTTAGCATACAACAAGAATAAACAAGGTAGCTCAGGGACACAGGATTTCATGTCTTTGTGCGTGCACAGAGCAGGGAATTTGAGAGAGGACAAATGATTCAAACTGATTGAGAGAGTTTAGTAGTGTTGATAAAGATAAATAAATTTGAGCACATCATTGTTTTGTTTTTATGCTGAAGACAAATAATCGTTATGTTATAATAATTTCTCTACAAGACATAATGTACGTGTGTGCAAACATTTTTTTCTGTGCTATAAATGTTCAGAATTATGGAACAAGTATAGTGCCATACAGAGTTGCTGTATTCCTACCATTTGCTGCTGGTCTGTTGCTGAAGCTCTGACCTAATGATTTTGGCTGATTTTAATGAACTGTGTGTGTTTAAACACAACATAAACCTTGTAGTGTAGCTTTCAATGGGATATCAGTCCTAATACAGAATTAAATGTACCGGAGTCTCTCCTAAGGCTGAACAGCACAGACTGCCGTAAACAGATCTTGGAGCTGCTCCAGAGGAGGTGAATCATGAAAAAACTGCTAAAAGCAGCCATGGTGGTTTTACATTTTCTGATTCACATTCAAATCAAGTTATATGGCAAGCAATTTCTCAAAAAAAAATTCAATCATCCCACAGAGTTTAATTTAATCATTAATTAAGTCATTAATTCAATAATACTGGACCAGCTCCAAAAATTTCTACCTGATGACACTGTGTTAAGGTCTTAATGCTCTGGTTTCCAGGAGTTTAATCCTGAGGAGTTCTACCATCTGCTGGAGGCAGCAGAGGACCACGCCAAGGAGGGTCACCTGATGAAAACGGACATTCCTCGTTACATCATCAGCCAGCTGGGACTGACAAAAGACCCCATTGAAGGTGAGGGAGAGAGAAAGAAACTTTGTACAACATAGAGATTTAACATATTAGAAAATAAATTAACTGACATTTGATTTAAACTGCCACATTTTTTGTCATCAGAGATGGTAAACCTTGATAGTTACGACAGCGAGGGGGTGCTAACACCTGAAACAGATGACTCGACAGAGGTGAGATCAAAGATAATCCTCTATTTCTGCAATGTTCAATGCATCCCCACATTCATCCACCCTTTTATTACTTTAGCTTACTTTGGAATATGAGGTCTGGCCCGCCAAGATCTTTGTTGCTCTCCCTGAACATGTCTGTTTCATCTGCTAATGACTTGGCATCTCATTTAGCAAAGTTATGCTTAAGTACAAAATCGAATGAATGAATCGCTGGGCCATCCCTCTAGCATTAGGCACACCTCCAACTGCAAAAAATAAATAAATTCATAATACATATTTAATGTACGCAGGATAAGCGGTTGACAATGGATGGATGGATGGATAGATGTTTAATGTCTGATCTTTGATCCACAGGGTAAGATAAGGGCAATGAAACCACCAGGAGAAGCCGACTTCCAGACCATCAAGCTGATCAGTAATGGAGCGTATGGGTGAGTAGAGCATTAGGGCGTCCTGTTCACTCTACTAATTAGGATGAGTAGACATGGAACTGATTAATTTTTACATCTGTAAGTCAGGCATGGACACAAATGTTTGTTTTTTTTAACAGGCATCACAGAGGCCATAAAGTAAAAAATAATGCACATGTGTGTGTGTGTGTGTGTGTGTGTGTGCTTTTGTACCAGCGCTGTGTACCTTGTGCGTCATCTGGAGACACGCCAGCGATTTGCAATGAAGAAGATTAATAAGCAAAACCTGATCTTGAGGAACCAAATCCAGCAGGCCTTCGTGGAAAGAGACATCCTTACCTTCGCAGAGAATCCTTTTGTTGTGTCCATGTTCTGTTCCTTCGAAACCCGTCGGCACCTCTGCATGGTCATGGAGTACGTAGAAGGTAAGAATATCCGCCATTTCAACGTCTGTGCAATTGGCTTTTTAGTTCTGAGTGAGTAAACATCACTAATGGTGTGTCTCAAATACACTCTTCACACAAATTCTAAGCAATTTTTGAGTATGTTGTGAGTTCACACCATAGACTGTATATAAGAAGTGGACGTAGTCACCATGACGTCACCTGTTGGTTTGTGGACTGCCGTTTTGAAGCCTCGAATTTGGAGAAGGGTCCAGCTGCAACAAACATGACGGAAGTTGAACTTCCATATATGGGTTGTCCCAGAAGCCACCGCGCACAAAATGTGATGACGTTTATCTCGACTGCTCGGACCACGCATAGTTGTTAAAAAAAAAAAAAAGCCGTTAAAAAAGAGGTGTCAGTGTACGTTATGTGTTAATATTTACTATACTATACTTATATATTATTAATATAGTATATTTATACTATAATTCCTGCAAATACTTATTTATAATAGCCTAATGATAATAATAAAGCAATGTTTCAATTCATACCACTGTTGTATATTTTATTTCTTCCACAGTGATTTTAAGTTTCACAAACCAAAAATATTCTGTAATGTTGCATCACGAGAAAGATTTGTCTCGATTTAGGTTAAAACTTAACATTACTGAGAATTTATTGACAGAATAACAGCGGTATGAACATTATCAGCTGTTGCTGGACACGTCTGCTGTGTTGGCTGCAGTGGTCTGTGTGACTGGGCCTGGGGGAGCTAACCGTAGCTAGCTAGCTATTCCTGACAGCCCCCCGAAGTATATTCCTCTTACCCCAACCAGGGTATGTGCCTAATGTAATTGATTATATGCATGTCGACCGGTTGTGTTGCTGTGCAGCCTCCGGTAATGTTACTGCAGCTATTTAACACCCGTCGGCAGTTGCAGAGCTTCTCAACTCCGAAAACGTTTGAACACATTCTCGAATCGCTGCCAATTTTCGTAAAACTGCCGATCTTCGAAATCTACACAGTTGATTTCTCGCCTAAAAACTTCTCAGAAGTGTATTTAAAGTTCTGTTGTTGGCTTCTAAAGAATAAAACGGTTTCCATTAGGATCAGGGTCTATCATGTACGTAAGCCGAGATGAACGTCATCACGTTTTGTGCTCAGTGTCTTCTGGGACAAACCATATTTGGAAGTTCAACTTCCGTCAACTTCTCAAAATTTATCCCTACTGTAGACGAAAAATGCTCCTTCTGCTCTCTGGAAACAGAAACGTTGGACCATTTATTCTATAGCTGTTCTCATAGCTCTTCTCTGTGGAATGATATACAATGCTTCGTTAATGGACACTTTGGCTCAAACGTAAATATATCCAATTTTGACATTTTATTTTATTTTTCTGATTCAAACTCCTCTGTACAATACATAATCAATCTATTAATCTTGCTTGGCAAATTCTTTATTCATAAATCAAAATTTTTGAAGAACAAACCTCTTTTCAATGTTTTTAAATTTGACTTAAAAAATTATATAGTCTGTATTTCTGGATTAAAGAGTAAATCAGCATCAAAATGTTTACAACATTTATCTAATATAACTTTATAATTAATTTAACTGATATTTATTGTTTGACACTCTGGCTGTATACTTTATTTTTGTTGTTTATAATTGGGTTTTTTTGTTTTTTTTTGCACTGTTTCTGTTTTTTCTTCCTTATGAAAACGTGAACTGTAACTATATAATTCTTGTAATAAAAAAAAAATACTTCCGTCAAGGTCTGCAGGCTGCATGGGCCGCCGCCATTTTGATTTTTTGCAACCAGCGGCACCGGACGTGACCATATTTGGACGAGACGGTGGAGCTAACGGCCGTATGTGGAGCTAGCTGTAATTCACGTTAACTCATTTTAACAGGGCTGACAATTTTGTCTAGCAAACAACAGCCTTAAAACTAAATGTACTCACCAGAGAAAGGGAACAACCAACTCCTAGTACCGTGGGTACGAGTCACTCTAGCCTGATTGACAGGTCACCATGGTAACAGCTTGTCGATCATAAATAATCCTGCCCCGAAGCATACTCTGCTTTATGGTCTATTTTCCTCTAAATGGGACCATAATTCACTAAATGAACATCATGTTGTAGTGAAGAAGACTTCAAACTAGCGATTGAGACCATAAACTCATTAGTAAAGTGTTTACTGAGGTAATAAATCAGGTGAGAAGTAGGGTCATTTTATCATTATTTCTAATGGTGCCGGACTTCTTTTTGCAACCAGAAGAGTCGCCCCCTTCTGGCTGTTCGAAAGAATGCAGGTTTATGGGACTTCAGTTTGCTGACCGGAAGCTTCCTGCTTGGTTCACACTGCAAAAATGACAAATGATAATGACATGAATGTCTGTACCAAACCGAATGGCAATCCATCCAATAGTCATTTCACTCAAATCCACAAATGACAACCTTATGCTGGCACGACAGGAAAAGTACAAGGATCACGAAAGTCACTGTGTTTCATCCTTTTGGCACCGTGGATATTTCATGGCAATCCATCCAATAATTGCCAGATCAGCCACAACACTAGCACGGCTAAAAATTCTAATAGCGCTACATATTACAGGCCTTCCCTGTGGGTAGAAGAATATGCATTATCATACATAGGTTGTTAATACTTATTATTATTATTATTATTAAAAAACTAGTCAGTAAGGTGAACATACTCTGAATACCAAGTAAAATGCATACTCTTGTGCCCGACATCTTTGAATATACTATGCAGAAAAACATCAGTAATTTTGATAGCATGATTTCTGTTGTTTGTGTTGCTCATTGGCGTAAGAGCAACCTAAAACGATCTAGGACAAGGGGTATCAGGAGACATTCATGGTAATTGCTAATGTCAGCAGCAATACTAATCAAATAATGAATTCTGCTGGCAGGTGGAGACTGTGCCACTCTACTGAAGAACATTGGGGCTCTACCCGTGGAAATGGCACGCATGTACTTTGCAGAGACCATCCTAGCACTGGAGTACTTACACAACTACGGCATTGTGCACCGTGACCTCAAGCCTGACAAGTAAGACGGCGTTAGTTTTCATCAACTTTTGCAGAGAGCTGATGCATATTGGCATTACATTGCTAAACAGTTGCTATATTACATTGCTAGTACATTTCAAAAGAGTGTAAGTAAAGCTTGCGTAGCTTGAACTTATCTTCGCTTTTTCTATTCTCAGCCTCCTGATTACCTCAATGGGCCACATCAAGCTCACAGACTTTGGCCTTTCTAAGATGGGTCTGATGAGTCTAACCACCAACTTGTATGAAGGACACATAGAGAAGGATACTCGGGAGTTTTTGGATAAACAGGTATAACAAAAACATACATACAAATGATATCAGATCTGTATACTCAAATCCCACTCCATTTGAAGTAACCACATTTTACATTCAAGTTATTGTAGCAATTTCAATTTACTTCCACTTTATATTACATGTAAGTGGTGAGTAAATTCAAATCAATTAAAATGTTAAAATAATCACATAGTAATAGCATTAATTGTGTCTTTTGGCTATATTGCAGTGCAGACTGTTCATCTACAGGATGATCCAAATAAAGTTTAAACACAAAACACCCTTTAATGTTGTCATTTCTGTGACGATATTCCCTGTCATTGTGTGCCAGGCATAACTGGAGCATGAAAAAAATGAGAGCGTTAACAGTTGGCAGAACAATAGGCCAGTGCTTCCTCAGTTGTTATAATAATTTCTCTTTTAGGTAAAGGTTTATTTTCTCAAGCCTTTCATTCAGTGCTCATGCTTTGAACCTACGCCTCATTATTTCTTGTGAATGCATTATGGCGGCCAGAAATCTGTTAGCATTCAGTGCAAACCCATCTGCACATGAAAACCCTCACTGGGGCTTTCATCTTGTCTTGGCATCTCTGAAGTGATCTACTTAGCTAGGCAGGAATACACATGCTCTATACACATGTGCCTCTCACTCAGGCTTTAACTGTCTCCCACTGTAGCTGCATCTATTTCAGAACCCACAATCATCAAAGTAAAAGTATGTTAAGTTAAATTAGATGTGACAATAAATATGTGTGGTTATTAGTAGCAAAAAAATTCACTCAGGGCAGGATTGCTTGTAATTCACAGGAAATCTAATGCACAACTGAGGAAATGTTTATCTTTTAGGTGTGTGGAACGCCAGAGTACATTGCCCCGGAGGTTATTCTTCGGCAAGGTTATGGGAAGCCAGTCGACTGGTGGGCTATGGGCATCATCCTGTACGAGTTTCTGGTGGGCTGTGTGCCTTTCTTTGGAGACACTCCAGAGGAGCTGTTTGGACAGGTCATTACAGGTGAGGGATCAAAGGTGGAGGGACAGATGGATACAGTATGCACACTATACATTGCTGATAGATAAACCAACGAGTTTTTGCTCACCTCTTCGCCAACACTGTTTACTCATGTCCTCCTGCCTCTCTCTCGGCTGTATCTGGTAGATGACATAGTGTGGCCAGAAGGGGATGAGGCTCTCCCTGTTGATGCCCAGAACCTGATCTCCTCCCTCCTACAGACAAATCCACTGGTTCGACTGGGCACAGGTCAGTTACCTAGATTAGTGGTTACTAACCTGAAGTCACAGTCACTTTCATTGATCCCTGTTGCATCCCTTTTGGCTTAACCAGTGATCCCTTCTTTTCAGCTCAGTCAGATAAACTCAAGTACCCCTTCATCACCACCAGTCATGTTCCAAATGTGTTCACTTGAATTGATTTAAAACAGGATTTTATCGAACGCTGCTAATAATAAAGAAGTCATATAATGCTTTTTGCCTTTTTCCCTCTCGTTTATTGAGTTATAAACCTTTTTTGCGCATGTAATAGGTTTGCAAAGTGAAAAAGCTCTAAATCCAGCCCAAAGGGAGTTCCCATCTCCCACAGAAAACTCTGCTCATTTGTAGTCCAGCTGTTTCCTTTTGTTCTCTGTGATGTCACAGATCACAGAGGTAGGCATAATGCTTGCCTAGCGGCTAGTCAGACTCGCCCTCAAAAACACTGGTGGAGAAACACTGAGCTGCAG